TGTGTCCTGGACACCCAACCAGGACGGTTGACCACCCTCCATACGCCCCTGGTGGCCCAGGTGCTTTAGGAGGTACACAGACACGTAGTCATTATTGTTTCTCATGTGAAACTGGAAAAAAACATATAAATCGTATATCAGAATGACTCAGCCTCGAAAGGAAATTTCTGACACTTGCTATGACATGGATTGTACCTCGAGAACATGACAAAAAGACAAATACGGGATGGGTCCCACTTGCATGAGGTTCCTGGAGTTTGACTCCTCTATGAACTTGTTCACAGAGACAGGATGTAGAATGCTGGTTCCCAGGGGCTGGGAGCAGTGGGGACATGGGGAGCTCTTGTTTCCAGGTTTCAGAGATTGAGTTTCAGAAGATGAAAAGCATTCCAGAGATGGATGGTGGTGATGCTTGCAGAACAGTATGAATGTACTTCATACGCCTGAACTGTACACTTAAAAATGGTTAAGATGGCAAATTTTATGTTCTGTGTATTTTACCGCATTTAAGACTGGGGAAAAAGTACATCCAGATACTACAAATATTGTTGCCCAGGGTAGAGCTAAAGTACTGTTTAAATGGGACGTACCTTATAAGACAGCTGTGCAGATGAGACGCTAGGGGGAAGAAGCTGGGGAAATTCAGTATATCCTGCGCTCAGATGGCAAGTGCTTCCAAACACACCACCCCTGGCTTGCCCAGTGCCACAGTCCTCTGTCCGCTGCCACTCGTACACGTGTCTGCTCCTCACGTGGCCCATGCACTGCATCCACGAGAGCTCGATCTGGGGCCCTCTGGGGTTTGCACGTACCCGGCAGCGTGGGGGGTCGGAAGTCCTGAATCCTGACATTCACAAAAATTCTTACGCTTCACTTTTTGCCTTAGCGGTGCTCTCGAGCCTCTGCCAGATTCTTCCCAGCATCCTATATCAGACAGGGGGTTCTGGACCACAGCATGGGGGGCAGGAGGGATGTAGAGTAGTTCAGTTGGTTCTGTGCGTGCTTTCTCCAACCGGAGGCTGGGCCGGCCCCGTCCGCTCCGCACGCTGCCCCCTGGAAGGACCTGAGCTGAACCATGCCCCCTCATCCTATGCATCCTCATGCCCAGAGCCACGACGCATCTTAGACACACACAATGCTGAGGTGGCCCTCTGGGAGCCATCCTAATGCTGACACCAGCTGGAAGAATGGGGACAAGTCCCTTCTACGGGGCATTTCCCCAACCACGCTCTGCAGGGACATCCCCTGGGTTTCATGCACAGAAAGCTTTCCAAGTTCAAATCTGGTTGCGTCATTATACTCCTGTCTCCAGCTTGAAATGTCTTCAGCTTCTGATATTCAGGATGGTAATAATACCATGAAATAACAGCTAACATTTATCAAGGGCTTACTGTATGCCCGGTGATACTGCCCAGATCTTCCGTGCATTACTCTATTGAATAATCCCAACACCTGAGGCTTACCGAGATGAAAGTAACTGGCTGCAAGTCCGGGCTTTCAGGAACAGGCCTTGGGGAGAAGATGAAGAAGGAAAGAGGAAGAGAATTAACTACCATATTCATGCCTCACTAAAAGCAGCGCCTCTTAAACTTTAAAGGGCACGCTCATCCCCTGGGAATCTCGTTAGAGAGCCAGTTTTGACTTAGTAGGTCTTGGGCGGAGCCTGAGATGCTGCATTTCTAAGAGCAGCAGGCTAGTGCTGTTCATCCAAAGATCAGGCTCTGAATGGGGAGGCGTCGGAGCACTTCCACCTGGGATGGAGCTCCTTCATTCATTTGTTCCCTCATTCATTCATTCCCTCATTCAGTTGTGGACGCGGTCTTGTAGCGAGCGGCATGATGGGCTTTGACATTTGGAACCAGGTTCTGATCACTAAGCAGTGGCTTCTCTGAGCCTCAGTTGCCCATCTGCAAAATGGGAATGAAACTCACATCTCAGAGAGCTTTGTGAATATTCAAATGCAATAAAATGTGGCAAAAGTCTGCCCCAGGGTCTCGGGCACGGTGGGCATTTCATAAATGGTCATGGTTCGAGAGCTGTTTTTATCGGTTCTTTTGTTGATTGATTCCAACGGAGATTTTCACACGGTTCCAATAAGTGTATTTATATGACAGCAAATTTATTGAAATAAATCCCTTCCTTATTAAATCATTTATTTTAACTATTACTTGTTTGCATGTTTCCGCAAAGACATCCCAGTGGCTCTGAAGGTTGCCAGTGATGGGCCCAGAGTCACTATCCTGAATCCGAGGAATGGGCATGGACGAAGAAACGTGTCTTCTAATGATTTCCACGAAAGGTGGAAGGAAATTGTAGAGGCAGGCACAGGTGACGAGCTGCAGGAGCCACTTGGCAAATGACTCCACCAGAAGGGAGGAGTGAGAAGTGGATGTGGTGGGGAGAGAGGGAGAGAGAGAGGCTGGAACTGGGTAAAATGTCAGCAGATCGCAAACTCTTCATTATCCAAGGAGAACTAAAGATAATGTAGGCAATTATAGACAGGCCACCGAAAGCAACAATAGGAAAACGTGGGCCCCAGCCGCATTGCGTGTCCCCTTGAAGAAGGGCTGGGGAGATGGGCTCTGGCATGCTGATCAGGCTTTCTACTCTGAAGGAGAGGGAGGGGGCTGGGGGCTCCCATGGAGGGGGACGCAGGGGTCCCCTCGCCCTGCCAGTCCGGCCAAGCCAGGCACACAGCGCTTCACTTTGAAAGGCAGCCTTCCCCCCAGCTCCAGGCCTGGAATCCGCAGCCCCCTCCCTGGGCACTCCCCACCCCCCCGCCAAGATGTCATCTTTTGAGACGATTTCATGTGGAAGCATTGCTAAGTAAATTCGCTAAATGCCTATTCATCCCCGTCAGATGGGGACTCGGTGAAGCAGTAAATGTGAAAATGGCCCCAGCTCAGGGCCCTGAAAGGCGCTTTCTGGGGTTGCCAAATGGAGCTGCGGCCGCTGACCCTGGGAGCCCCCGGAGCCCTGGCCCGGCCCCTCCAATCCTCCCCCTGAGGCCGCTGAGAGGCCCTATTTATTATTCCTGCTGCCAGGGACCCATTCAGAGGTTAACTTGTCCCCGTATTCATCAGGACGACAATAATGAACTGTCGCAGAGTGGCGAGGGAGTTGGTAAATAGGAACTGCTAAGACGCGGAGAGGGAATGGGCCTCCTTAAGGTTTGGAAAGAGACATCGCTTTCTTTTTTTTTTTTTTTTGTATGGGCTGATCTCATTCCCATCTCTCCCGGCAACTTCAAGAGGGCCTGTGCCCACAGCTGCCCCATAACTTGGTAGGAGGCGCATAGGCTTTCCCTTGCAGCGTGCGGGCACGGTTGTCCACACAGGAGACGCACCATTTTGCAGACACGTGGGGTTCGCCTTTTGTCTGCATCCCTGGGATTCACCCCTGTGCGCACCCGCGGGGCTTGGCTTGCTGCGTGCGTAGCGGATGGACCTCTGTGCAGACACGGGGTTTCCCGGCCACTGCTAGAACGGGCTGGCCGTGATTCGGGGTTTAGTTCAGGGGTAGGATGTTTTCACTGCAGCGCCTCTTAACCGCTTGGTGCCCCCTCCGCCGGAATTCTGAGGTGGTCACCATGAGTCATCCAATCACGGAACAGGGAGTTGCAGGGAAATGAAGGAGGGGTGCCGGGTGGGGGCCGCTCAGACCAGACGGTGGGGAGGTGGAAGGAGAGAGCACCTTGCATTTATTGCACACCTACCATATGCCCTTTCAGTGCACCCAGTTATCCGTTCGCTATGTAGGCACAGAGAGCCTGCTATCTGCTGGGGAGCCAGGGGAGTTCAGAGAAGCTCCCCCGCCCCCCGCCGCAAAGCCCCGAGGTTCAGTTACTCACCCTTGGACACACAGCTGGGTCAGGAGTGGAGCTGAGATCTGTCTCCAGACCCTTCTGCTTCGAGAGCCCAGGTATTGCTTTCTGAGGCACCCACCTGCCTCCCAAAGGTCGGTGGCCTCCATTCTGTGCCCAAGGACGGCCTTCCTTTCTGCCGACTCCCGCCTGTCTCCCACTTTGAAACAGTGGTTAACCCTTTCCTTCTGAAGTAAAAATCCAGCACCGTTTACCTATTTGGGTTTATTCAGCAGAAGAGACGACTGCATTTCGGGCAGATGGAGACCTGTGTGACTGCCTTTTAAAATACTGTCACAGCTGTATGCACAAGCCGATTAGCTGTGACTACACTGCGGGTTCCGAGATTGATGGCAATAAACTTGGGATAACAATGCTGGGAACGACGTCATCTGTTTGGCTCACGCTTCATATTTTTCAAAGCTCGCTCAGTCGGTAGCCCAGTGGGTTTCAAGAACTTTGTATTCCTTCATCCAACAACAAGCTAATGTAGCTCCTACTGGGTGCCAGGGAGGAACAAGTCCCATGAGGCTCTGCCTTCATGGAGCTTACATCATAATGTCAGCAAATTTAACACTCGGTAATGGACACACAGGGATGTGATAAAGGTGAAGGTGGGGGAGGCAGATGCTACTTTAGGTTGGGTGGCCAGAAAGGGTCTCTGTGAAGAGGTGACATTTGGAAGGAGATCCAGATGACGTAACGACAAGCCAGACCTGGAAAGAGACAAGGCAGAATTTCCCAGGCACAGCAGGTGCAAAGGCCCTGAGGTTGCTAAGTACCTGGCATTGTGCTGCACACTGATGACTTCATGTTTGCCAAGCCCAGTGCTGGGCACTAGAGATTCTATAGCCTTCTTTTTTTTATTATTATGTTATGTTAATCACCATACATTACATCATTAGTTTTTGATGTAGTGTTCCATGATTCATTGTTTGCGTATTAACACCCAGTGCTCCATGCAGAACGTGGGCACTAGAGATTCTAAAACAGCTGGGGCACCATGCTTACCCTCAAAGAGTTCACAGACTATGGAACATGTAGGATATACACACACTCTAATAGTCCTTTTTAACGTAGGATGGTAAGTCCATGGTCTCTGGAGGACTCTGACCTTCCTCTTGGTTTGTTTCCACAGGACAAATGACCAGCTGGTGGCATTTCTCTCCCGATACCGAGATATGAATTTCCTGAAGTCACACGGCCGGGACAATGCAAGGTAGTACATCCTATCACCCCCCACCCTTGTGCAAGATGGAAATGAAAATCCAAGTGATCATTTGTGGCTTCCTTCCAGACTGGTTTGATGCAGCCAGAGAAAGTAGATAGTGGGAGAAAGGCATGGCTCACATGGACCTCTGCCCCTTTCACATAAGATCTGAATTGGTCTCTCACGTTAGCCAAGGACAGGAATAATAGTAAATGCGTCTCCTCGCGTGATAGCCCTTTACACCTTTTTTCCGAGCACTTTCCTGAGTCTGTTTATCTCATTACGCAACCCTTTGAGGTAAGTAGGGCAGCCGTGGCTAATCCCCACTTTATTGGTGGGAAGACTGAGGCCCATAGTTGAAGTGGTGGCCTCAGTTCATCGGGTCAGTGACGTGGGGCCATCACTGGTCAGGCAGTCATTCAGCAAATATTTGCCCCATGCCAGACACGTGCCAGGCATCCTTCTAGAGGTGAACACGACAAAAATCCTCGTTCTCATGGAATTTACTTCGGAGGGAGAAAGAGTCTCTCGCCGGCATGGAGTTGAGCTCAAATATCCTGACTTCTAGCCCGTGCCCACGCCAGGGCCTCACTCTTGTCGCCCAAGACATGGGCAGGGGTTCGAGGCACCAGAAGCGCGATCTGAATCCATTGCACCTCACTCACCTAGAATGAGTGAGGCCAAACAGCTTTGAGCCGCATCTACATCTCTGGCCAGAGATCAGCTAGAAGGGATTCAGTCTCGAGCGCCCCCTGTAGGGGAGATCACAGGACCGGTCTCGCCATCCTGAGGTTCGAACACCAGTAACAAAAACCCAGCCCCGGATCACTCTGCCGTGCTGGAGGTTTTTTCCTAGCGCTGAACTCAGACCATAACCTGCCAGCACATGGGATAATTTGAGTGCCTTCCTGTGCTTTGTTTGGGCCTCGAGTTGGTTTTGTTTTGTTTTGCTTTAATTCAAGTGCTTCATTTGAAAATGAATAGCCACATGTAAAAATAGCAATGTTTCCCAGGCACATTCAGATTTCAGCTCCTCTTAAAAGACCCCGGTGTCCACTCACTCTGGGCCTGAGTTTTCTCACTGGAGGCTCTCCCCCGGGTCATACACGAAGCCTGCATCCTCCAGGTCACTGCGGGCCGCACTTGTCCCCCTTCCCTACCTAGCCCCCCACTGGCCTTTCGGTTTGCAATTGTGCTTCGGGTGTTCTCTGCCAGGGCTGACAGAGGCGTCGTTCTGGCTGGCTCTGGAACTCCACTCACCCAGTTACCCACGGCACGGGAGGGGCAAAAAGCAAGCAGTGAGCTCCATCTCCCGAGCTCTCCAGATGTAAACCCAGAATCCTTCGTTGTGTCATTTCCAAAATTCTAACTCTGATTTCATCCAGCTCTCGAAAGATTGTTCCTATCCTACTGGCAGCCTGCATTTTTTTTTTTTTTTTTTTTACGTTTAGAAGGAGCCTGCCTCCCGCCAGCCCCGACTTGAGGATGCTCTGTAAATCAGCCCAGATGAGCATGTTCCAGCCACAAAGGGTAGAGAGGCCTGGGGCAGACATGGAAGAATTATAGCCCCTGGGCGTTGTGTTCCTAATAAGTGCCCCACTCCGCTGACCCTTTTCCTGCAGGATCTTCTTAGAGCCATTCAGTGCAAAATAAGAATTATTATCCCCATCTGTCAGGAGAAGCAAGGGGGTCTTTGGGAGTCCAAATGATTTTGCCAAGGTTACACAACTGGTAAGTGCTAGAATTTGAACCCAGTTCTCTGGCCCCAAAGCCCAGGTGGAGCAAGGCTGAGCTGAACAAGATTCCATGCAGGTGTTCGTTATCAAAACTGGTGGTGTCTAGGCCCTCAGGTAGAGAATGAAGACACTTCTTCCCCTCCCCTCCAGGTAACCTTGTAATAGCACATTTGGTGCAAAGTCGCATCCCGAGAAAGGAGCCCACCGTAACTTGATAGACCTGGGTCTGAATTACATACGCCCTAGTATAATTATGCCAGCCTAGTCAGTATTTATTCTCCCTCCACTATTTCTAGGCCCTGGGCTTGGGACCAGGGATGGCACAGAGGATAAAATCACGGGCTTTGAGGTTGTACCTCCTGGATTAGAGTCCTGCTCTGTCATGTCTTAGCTGTGTTGAATTAGACGGGTGACTTAACCTCTCTGAGCCTGTTCGCTTACCTGTATGATGGAGATATGAATAGACCTACACCCACAGGGTTGAGAGGATTCAATGGATGCTGCATATAAAGCATCCAGCATATAGTAAAGGCCCTATGTGATGATGGTGAGGAGGAGGATGGTGATGCCATGGCCATGATAAGCAGAGGACGAAAATATTGCTGCTGGAAGAAATAGATAGTTGGTGTTTGGGCCAGAGTTGAGAGTCTGGATGTGTGGGTACATCCTGTCTAGCTGATATGCACCGGTAGTCGACAGGTAGTACCAAATGGCACAGGATAAGATGAAGGTTCAGGCTAGGATGTGGCTCACACCTCCTCCCAAAACCCTAAAACCCAAGGCTCTCTGAACAGAAAAGCTCACAAGTTCCACTACCCATGAATGAGCCCTTGGCTGGTTTTCTCTCACTAAGATGAATGAAGGGCAGCAATTGAATATTCATTTCGTAGTAAAATGAGCCATCATCTGCCCACCCCCCCCCCCCCCCCCGTCAGCTGGGGCCTCACCTGCTGCATGAGCCAGCCTAGCCACGGCGCATCCTCTGTCATCCCCTCCACAGGGCACAGAGCGGCCATGGCTTAGCTCCAGTCCCGGCACGGGTGGTGTGTTACAAAGGACGCTTGGTGGCAGATGACAGAAACCCAGCTGAAACTAGGCTAAGCGAGTAAAGGAAGTTAATGGAAGGAGAACATTGGTGTCCGACTTCGGATAGGGCTGAATCAGGCAGTTCAGATGATATCATCAAGCCCAGACTCCGTTAGTTCTTGTCTTTTCCTTTTGTGTGTGGGTTTTGTTTTTTGTTTTGTTTTTTGGCTTTTGAATTATTTACTATTATTCCTGGAGCGGGTTAAGGAAAAATAAACACATCAAATAGCCAAGTAGTTCAATAGCAAGAATCTTTGTCTTTTTTAATTGGGGTGTAATTGACATAACATTAGATTAGCTCCAGGTGGAAGACATAACCATTCGTTATTTGCATATATTGCAAAATAATCACCATAAGTCTCGTTACCATCCGCCAGTGCGGAGTTACATTTTTTCCTTGTGATGAGAACGTCTCAGATCTACTCTCTTAGCCGCTTTCATATATACGATACAGTATTACTGACTGCGCGTCATGTCCCCGGGACGGAGTTATTTTACAACTGGACATTTGTACTTTCTGACTACCTCCTTACATTCTGTTAGTTCTCGTTTCCTTTGTGTTGGTTTGATTTTTCTGGCTTCAGATGGCGACCCCTTGCAACTTACTAGCCTCATTTTACAGATGAGGAAACAGAGACGTTAAGTAACTCGCTTAAGCCCACACAGGGCAGGGCTAGGACTCAAACCTGGGCGGGGGGAGTGGCCCCAGAGCCCAAGCTCATGACCCCTGCGTGATGCACCCTGTCTGTGCTCTCGGCCTGCCTTCCTCCCATACTCTGGGCGGCCTCGAGGCAGCCACTGCTTCTCTGGGCTTCATGTCCTCCCTTGGAAAAATGAAGGGGATGAACAAGATGGTCTCCCAAGGCCCTTCCCGTTCTGACGCTCTCTGCTCCTGGACCCACCCTTGTAAAAGACATTGAGAGAAAAACAAGGAGTTTGAAAGATCAAATGATGTGGGGAGGCCAGAGCACGCAGTGAGACACAAAATAGGCCACGGGGTGCCTCGGTTTTTAATTCCACATGGTTCCTAATAGCAGTGTTGACCTTCTGTCCCCATCTCCAGCCCTTGGCAGCCAATTTGGATTCCCAGCTCCAGCTGCGAAGAGATGGCATAAAGGCAAACTAATATTTTAATAGCTGCCAAATTGGTCCTGACTGTTCCTGTAATTAAATGAAGGGGAGTGTTGTGTTCACCGTTTCTCCTTGCTTTCCTCCAAAAATTAAAGTAACCAGATACAGCAAAAGCCAGGCAGCACAGTTACCGTTTTCCCAGGGAGCCTCTGCAGGGCGAGCAGAAGCAGGTGCCCTAAAGTCCACTGTGAGTCTCAGTGGGCAGGTCCTAGCAGACATCCCCCAGAACTCCTGGCTGCTTCTGCCCCGCTGCGAGGCATTTCCCAAATGTCTGCAGCCTGGGTGTGGGGGAGCCCCTGACAGGGGACAAAAGGGAAAATCCTTTCCATCAGCCTGAATAGGATTTGCTCTGGGACTTTTCCTGCCTCGGTCCATCTGAGCTCTCCGCCTGATCCGAGATCCCCAGGGTCCCCATGCTGAGCCCAGGGAGGCAGTGGGGTGCAGGGCTAAGCAGCTGCCCGCTGGAGGCTCGGTCCCTGTGTTGAAATGCCGCCTCTGTTTCCTCATCTTTATAACATCGGAACAGGGAGGTCGGGATTGTGGAGGACCAAGTGTCCTCACCGACCCCGGGAAGGCCCCAAGCCAGGCACTGTCCACTGTGTTGTCTCATTCCAACCTCATTTGGCAGGTGCTGCCCCCTCTTAGAGATGAGTACAACCGAAGCGTGGAGAGTTGTTTTCGTGGGCCCAAGGTTCCACGGCCACTGGGCAGCAGGGCTGGGATTGGAACCTGGTTCACTCTGACTTTAAAGACCTGGGTTGTTGTTTTTTGTTGGGGTTTTTTTTTGGTTTATTTTTTTGTTTTTTTTTGTTTGTGTTTTTTTTGGTCACACCATGATTCGTGACTGCATCTGAGAGGACCTGCAGTTTTAGGTTCTTGGGAGGGATACAGATGAAAGAGCAAAATTCTAACTTTAAGCAGAAGCGTTTTTTCAATGATTTGGAGAGGGAAGATTAGGTCCTTTCCCTGCTTTGCAGGGTCAGCATATCCCAACGTGTGTTCATGATCCAACAGTGGTATGCGAGATGGTTTCGGGTAGCTCATTCACAAGCATAC